CCCGCTGCCTGCCGCCGGGCCCCGCCCCACGCAGCCGGCACAACCGCCTCCTCGCCAGCTCTTTCCCGCTTCGTTATCCCTGAAATCCCGGGGGTGAACCGCTTTGCCAGCCTCGCTCTAAAAGCTTTTCCTATCTTCGCTTCGTTAAAAGCTTTCTATTTCCAGCGAGGGAGCAAGCAGAGGGGAGGGATTTTACAGCCCCTGGGTGACTTAGTGCTGTGGCTGAGGCGAGGGGCGGCAGTTTCAGGGGTGTCCTGAGCCGGGCTGGCATCCCCCAGCTCTGCAGCGGGGAGAGCAGTCACTCACCAGCCACTTCCAGCTCATTCAGTGCCTGATTTGGGAGAGGGACAGCAGCAACAGCCTGGTCATGCACTGGAGGAACAGACCCACACCAGCTGGAGAGGGGAAAGCACCAAGACGGGGCTGGGAATGATGAAGCCAAGGACGATGGAGCCAGCACACGCGTCCTTCCACGCCACATCCAACCCGACGCCCCACACAGCCTGGGCAAACTCTCACTCCAAGAGCAGGAATAACCCTTCTGGCAATGGCAGCGACCGGGTGATACCTGCCACCGAGCGCCTCTGCCTTCACGCAGCCATTGGGCACTGCGAGGAAGAGGAGTTTCACAACTCAGCCCATGAAGAGGTGGATGCATATGCGCCTGAGGAAGTAAAAAAAACAGAAAATCAAACTAATTATATTGGTTGCAAGTGCAGCCACGGGCACAGCCAGTGCTGAAAAGCACCTCGCTGTGCCTCGCTGAGCCCGGCGGGGTGCTGAGCACCCTGGCAGCCAGCACCAAGGGCAGAGGGAGCGTTTGGGGCCACCCACAACCACCCAGCGTGGCCCACACAGCAGCAACGCGCTGGGGCACAGCACCGAGCTCACCCCATCCTGCCCGGGGACGTGTGGGCAGGTCAGGGTTGCTCGAGCGAGGCACCAGCTGTATTCGACACCTTCCTCCGGGGCCATGTATCACATTTGATGTGCCTTCTTCGAGGAAAAAAAATGTGTAATTTATGGTACATTTAAAATTAATGCACATTTGGTGGTCTTTCTGAGTCTAAATTATACACCGCATGAGTGCTGTAACGTAGAGCTGTGCTCGTCCCTGCGAGGCCGGCATCGCCGCCGGCACTGCTAACCCTGCCCCCCCGACAGACACCGCTGCTAATGACAAGAGTTCCAAAAATCAACATTTCCAGCAGCATCATTAGCATTTGCACCTCGTGGGTACCAACTCCTGCCCGTGCCAGGGCTGTGCCGTGCTGTACGAGGGGGCTTGGGCTCAGCATGGCGCAGTTCTGTACTGAGGCCAAGCTGTCACTCCTCGGTGACAAACCTCTGCTTCCAGAGCTGGAGGCCTGGCTGCTCCATGATGGGAAGCTCGTTCCTCTCTATAACCCCCCGACGGAGCGAGGCCTAATTAAGAGCCGGCCACGGCGGAGAGCGGTGACGGTGGCTCTGCCAGTTACCTGTGAAAATGCCACGGCTGCGCTAAGTAACGCTCAGGCCCCGGGTGCATTCCCAGCGCTCGGAACGCTGCTCAGGGCTGCTCCCGCAGCGCGTCTCCAGGAACGAGCCTGCCACACAACGAAACAGATTCGTGGTTTCTTAAACCAGGATGAACATTAATAACACTTTGATTCTGCTTTTCGTTGGTATTTATTTAAACAACAGGCAAATGCTCTTATCACAACTGGTAGTGCCACAGTTTCCCCTAGAAGCCGTGACTTCAGCAAGGGAAGGGGGGCTGGCAGTGCTGACTTGCCCAGCGCGGATGTCCCCAGCCTGCGGCGAGCCGGACACACCGGCACTTCCCAGCTTTGGCACCCACGCAGCTGGGCCCCATCCCCATCGCCCAGGGCAGCTCCGGGCGCGGGAGTCACAGGCCCGGCTGCCCTGCCAGCTCCCGGGCCCTCTCAGCACTGCTTACACCCAAACCCAGACTCTGGACATTGGGGAAAAACAGGGTCAGACCCTCCGTGACCTGAGGAGGGGACGGGGACAAGGAGCGCAGATACGATGGGAGAGGAATCAGCCATCGGCCGGGAAGGGACCACTAATGAGAGGCTGTGCCCTGGTGCCAGCAAAAGCCACACCACAAAATCACATTCATCAAATAAACAACGTCTTAATAACCCCAATGCCTCCTGCCCCAGCTCCTCGGGAAGCCCGTGGCGTCCCACGGCCGCGTTTCAGCCGGGCTCTCAGCATGGTGGGCAGCAGCGGGCGCCCGTCCGGCCTCACTGAGCCCCTGCGGGAGAGGAAAATATTTGCTGTATTTCTCATTTGCTGATTTTATTACTGGCTCTTACTCACAGCAACAGTAAATTAAACCCAGAGGCGCAGTAAAGCCCCTGCATCTTGACAGCTTAAACACAGTCCTCAGGCGGCAAGCAGGGAAAATCGCACGTCGGAGGAGGTCAGGGGAGCATGAGTAAATAAGATGAGATTAATTTTGGAACAATACGCAGCGAGAATGACATCTACCAGGAAGGAGCATTGCAGGGTCCCACCACAGCCCTGGCGGTTCAAAGCCCGAGGGGCTGCACGAACACCGCCGGCCTCCACATGGGGCGAGACTCCTGAGAAACCACAGCAGCAGCCATCCTAACAGCCCTGCACGAGCCAGAGCCGCACAGCCCGAGACCAAAGCTCTCCCCCGGCCAGGCAAGGCTTCCCGGAGACGCTGGACGGGGGCTTGCAGCTGCACTGTGGGAAACCGTGGTTTGTTGTTGTTCTCAAACCCCAGCGGAGCTGTCTAAGCGCCCAACAGCTCGTGAGGCTGTTGCCGTTTGCAGTAGGTCAGCCCCGAGGTGCTGCCCTGTGGGGACAAGAATGCCACTGCTCACCAGCACGGGAGGTCAGGAGAGCCCGACTGCGCGTCCCCTCGCCAGGCGCAGATCATAGAACCGCAGAATCGTTAAGGTTGGAAAAGACCTCGCAGATCATCAAGTCCAACCATCAACCCAACCCCACCACGCCTGCGAAACCATGTCCCCAAGTGCCACATCCACGCGGTTTTTGAACCCCTCCAGGGATGGGGACTCCACCACTGCCCTGGGCAGCCTGGGCCAACGCCTGACCACTCTTTCAGCAAAGAAATTTTTCCTAATGTCAAATCTATAGTTTAATATATTATGTAATAAACTATAAACTATTGCATACAGAACTACATATAAACTTATTATTTTTATAAACTTTACACAGGCTGCGCCTGCGGGCATTTCTCACTCCGCTTCTCCACGCTGGCTGCTTGGAGGGCTCAGCCCAGGCCACCGGGCAGGACTGGTGCTCGACCTGCTGCACATCCAGCACGGGGACGTGTTCCTGAAAGCCCGTTCAAGGTTTCACCCCCAGCAATCGGCAACCACCAGACGTGCCAAGTCAAAAGCCTTGAGGGGAACCTTTCCCATCGCAGCTGCTGCTGGGAGCCCTGGTCCCTCACGACCTTGCTCTGATCCTGCTACTTCATGTTTGTCCTTGGCTGGCATCAGGCTTGTAGTGGGAACAAGTTCTGCGTCCTCTTCACCTGAGATGAAACCTTCAGGTCTCAGCAGCTGTTTTCTCTCCCCCAGCAAGGCCAAATTAATCCAAATTCAGTCAGACTTCACCTTTCGGGGGCTGTAACTCACCCATGAAGAAACTTCAGGGAGAGCAGGCGGTTTCCAGCTGAAGCCTGCACCCACCGGGCCAGTGAAGATCGGCAGGACAGTGGCCTGGGCCAGGAGAGCCGCGACCAGCAGCCTTGGGCTCCCCACACCGCCCTTCTCCCGCCCCGTGGCCAGCAGAGCAGCAGCGGGACTGTCCCCTGGGGCGCGAAGCAGTGACGGGACACCAAGCCGTCGGACAGGGCTGCGTGTCCACGCCGGCCGGGACTGCTGCAAACCCCCAGAGGTGGAACTGCACAGGTGAGCGCAGGAGCATCAGGATGCACCTGGGTGCGGCCACCTTCTGCAGGAAAAGGATTTTTTGGGTGTTTTTTTAGTGCAGGACGGGGAGGTCAACGCCGGGCCGAAGGCTGAAGCACTGCCAGGACCCTGCACTGCCTGGCCGGGCAGCTGGGCAGACCACAGCCAGCGGCAGAGCAAGCTGGAAAAACCATTCTGCTTTGTACCATAAATGTTTTACATTCCTCTGCACAGGAGGAAAGATCGTTTTAGTGTCCAGGGCTCACCCACGGAGAGCGCAGCTAGCGGGGAAAGCTGTCATCAGTTATTGAGAAGCGACACCCCGAAGGTTTATCTTCTGTCCTTGTATGTCTGAACCAAGCGCCACTTCCCCGTGGGACGGGGCACAAAGCAATCACAGCGACTCTCACTAACACAGGCAGGAGCCCAGTATTTTTCAGTTTTCTGCAGCTCCCAACCCATGCAGCCACGAGCCCAGCGCTCGCACCCAGGCTCCAGGAGCGAGTCCAGCTGCCAGGAAGTTTAGTTAGAATACACAGCTCGGAAATTAATTACCTGTTTGAACAGAGGGGAAGAGCTCCCCGGAACAGCACGGAGCAACACAAGAAGTGCTGGGTTCAGGCTGACAGACCCGTCATCCTTCTGGAAAAGAGAGATGGAGCTCTGAGCAACCTGGGCTGGTGGAAGATGTCCCTGCTCATGGCAGGAGGGTTGGAACCAGATGATCCTTAAGGTCCCTTCCAACCCAAACCATTCTATGATTCTAGAACCACCCGTGGTGCCCATCCTGGCCCAGACAGCTCGGCAGCCGGGGCAGAGGAACAAGCAGAATCTATCGCTGCTATGGGACGCGCAACCCAGGTGTCTGGCAAACAACAATCTGCCCATCGTCAGGAGGTTTGGAGGCTCCATGCAGAGGTCCAGCCTCTGCTGAAGGTACTTTTGTTTCTAAGCATATCCTTCAAAGGTTGAAGACCACTGGCCTGGGATGAGCTCAGCAAGGGCAACCTGAGGGCCCTCGTCATCCCTCAGATTAGCCCTATTCCTCATGTCTCAGGGAAAGATTCCTGCACTGCAACCATCTATCAACACAGACGTTGAAGGGACTCCGGTCTGGTTTGCACCCCCTCACCAGAACAAAGCTGGAAGCTGTGCTGCTGCTGCAGGAGACGTGCTCCTCTCGGGTCTGCTCAGAGCAGCTCTGAGACCGGCCGGGAGGGGGGTCCTCACCGGCGCGCCCGCCCAGCCTCGGCCCCCGCTTCGGAGCCTTTCCCACGACAGGCACCAACACCCCCTGTAACCACCCTCAACAGAAATTCAATCTCTCCAGCTCAGCAGGCGGCCTGTGCTCTCACATAAGCGTCCGGCTGCTGACTGCTCTACCTCCACTTCAAAAGCCATTTTTAAGCTTCTTTGCAAGAATTATTTCTTTTCAACAGCAAGGAACAACCTCCAGCAACCGCAACGTATCCTGTACAATTGCATTAACCAAAACCTGCATCAGAGATCCGGCTGATCCTTGCAGGGAAGGTGTCTGCTCGCTCTGGAGGGGCCTGGGGCTGGCTTGCAGCCATGCAGGGGGTCTCACCAAGGTGAGGGCTGGAGTCCCTCTGCGAACAAAGCACTGACCTGAGGCTCTGACACCTGAAAATAACATTTTGTGTGAGAGGAGCGGCTTCCCTGGGTGAAGGCTGCACTTTCACAGACACGACAAGAGAAAAACCTGACGCAGGGCAGGTAGAGAGCCTGTGCCACGAGAGGAGAGGAGGTCAAATGCAGAGGACAGGTCACACTTCACAGCACTTACAACTGCCACAGTCCTCGGTGGTGCCACCAAACGCGTTTCTGGCCTCAAAGTTGTGCTGCCTCCAGGCACAAGCAGAGCTGGGCACCGCCGCCGGCTGCTGACGCCCTTCCATCGCGGGGCCAGGACAGCTTGGCAGTGGAGGCAGCTTGGAGGAGCGTCTTCGGTGCTCTGGTCAGATGACAAACCCCCTCAAGGCAACAGCACCTAGAGCTAGTGCTGAGCAGGAGAGTTTACACAAAGCAAGAATTAGCTTGATTATTCAGCCATGCGGAGCTATCGGCAACGACAGATGTGAGACAAGCAGAGCAAGCACCGGGGGACTTCTGAACACGGTCCGACTCACGACGACTGCTGCAGCCCTGGGGAGAGAGCACTGGGGGATTCTTTCCAATGCTCGACAATACACTGCGTGACTCCTGCTGGGTCCAGGAACTGAAAACCACACGAGTTTCTTCAAAAGTCTGATAGAAGCAGAGGCAAGCTGGGCTCATAGTTGTTCACAACTTTCTCTTCGTGGGACCCAACACAAAGAACCACGCTGACATTTCAATCCATCAGAATAACTTTATTTCACAAGGCAAATACAGCCAAGTAGTGACTCCAGAGTTGCCCAGCAAGTGTCAGCTCCATGATCCATCAGGAAATGTTCTGCTGATGGCTTGAGGATACAGGCTCCATAGCTAGTGTTCACATTAACTGATTCCTTAGGTTTAGATTTCAAGTGAAATACATTCAAGTTTGCTCCTGTCAGAGCACTGCTCACAAATACGTGGTTGAAAGTCAGAGGGGTTAATTACACAGTTACCTGATTCATATAAAAAGAAAGCAATGCTGCTGCTGTGACCCATAAAACCCCTCCCTCTCTCTAGTGCTGCTGCCCGGAGCCTTTCCAGCCCACAGCGGGACAATATCCCGTTGCTCTTTGGGCCTTCGCAGGGAGAACAACCACCAGAACATACAGCAGCAAAAATGAAGGCAGCGTTTGACCGCACGTTCCCAGCACGTTTCCCCTCTGCCAGTCTCAGAAGGATTAACAACGGGCTGCTCCCACTGGCACCGGTACGAAGGAGCACGGCACACGTCAGCCACCCTCCAGCAGAGGTCCAAAGGGACTCGGGCGCGACGCAGGTGTTTGTGCTCAGTGCTGGCAGCTGAATGCCCCATACCCTGTCAGGAGAAGGACCAAGGCTTGCTTAATTTCAACTATATGTTGCTTTGGTTTTTTAAAATATTTAATAAATAAATGTGTCTAATGTCAGTAGAATGGGATGTAGGTCTCAGCCAGCAAGGTCAGACTCATGTGAGTGTTAGCCTGGCACTCCTGTGCTGCTGGCCTGGCCGTCCACACCGGGCAGATTCCTGCGCTTTCTTATCTGCATATCTTCATCCTGAAGGAGAAAAAATAAATAGACAAATAAAAAAGCACAAATTCATTCTTCAGCACCCTCTCCGAGCTGCACAACCGTCTGTCCTCTTCCCCTCCACCTCTTCTTTGTCCACCAACCACTACCCACTGGAGATCAGCCCAGCAAACAAAGATCTTTATGCCTTCACTCCAGCTCTTCGCTCAAAACACCGCAGCCATCTTACGTCCTCACATGGGCAGCTACTCAGCCCAGGCACCTTCCCAAACCGCTCGCATGCTCCCACTGAGAAACTGTCCATGTCCAACACAACCTGCCGGCCTCTCCAGCCGGAGGGCAGGGCCAGGACCCCTCCGAGCCGTGCTGCGCCGGCTGCGGGCCACCCGGCGTCAAGTCTGGCCTCACAGTGCAAGTCTTCCTTAGGGTGGATCTGATGTCCCACAGAGTCAAACAGCTTTGGTTAGAAGGAACTTCTGGAGGGCATAACACAATTTTCTGCTCTGAGCAGGGCTAGCTCTGATGCTAGATCTTGCTCTTCAGGGCATCTATTTGGTTTCCAGGTATCTGCACGGGTGGAGTTTCCACCGTCTCCCCGCACAGCCCGTTGTGGTTCTCGGCCACGCCTACTGGGAAATATTTCCCCCTGTGCCCAGGGAGGGTTTCCTTCAGCGCAAGCTGTGTCTGTCACCTCTTGCCTTCTTGCTGCGCATCTCTGCTGCCGTCCCCCCCGCAGCCGCCCAGCAGGCAGCTCCTCCCTGCGCCTCCAGCCCGCACCCACCTTGCGAGCAAACCCACGCAGCTGCGGGGCCAAGTTTCGCCACGCACCGCGCCGCTGCAGGCGACTACGCTGAACAGGGCGAGCAGGCATCATTTAGCGTCTGCACCGCACAAGAAGCAAGCTCCTTTCTGCACAGTCAGTGACGAGTCCCCTCCCGGTGCCTCTCTCAGCGTCCTTCCTGCCACCTCCACCTCACAGCCACCGCGCACCATTCACACGCGACTCGGCAACGACAGCGGCACTGCCTGTCTCCAGGGCAGCTCGTACCGAGTCAGAGTCTTCTTCAACCTGGTTGCTGATGAAATTGATATAATCATCCTTCTGGTTGTCCAGAATTTCTTCCTCGTACTCAGTCTGGTAGTCTGACTCATCTAGAGAGAAGAGAGAAAAAACACTGGTTTTAACCAGCATTCAGAGAGGCAGAGAAACTGGGAGAGGGACGGCAGCTGGCTCGGCGGAGCACTGGCGCAGGGCAGGGTGACCGCTGGCCAGCCCTCCGCAGCTCAGCGAACGGGGACCACCCAAACGCAGACGCCAGCTCTCCAGCCAGATCACAGAACAGTGAGCTGCATCTGAACCGGTGTCCTGGAGCCCTCCAGGAGCTGAAGAGCCTACAGCAGGAGCAGCAAACCGTCTGCGTTGTTCTGGTGGGCATCAGCTGCCCAGCCCGATGGGACACAAATGCTGGCAACGGGGAGATGCTCCCTGCTGAATGCTCTTCATGGAATAGTTGCTGTCTCCCCCCCATCACAGACAAGACCTGTAGGATACCTTCAGAGGACACGCCTGTGAGCGACCAGCCCAAGCTCCCTGGACACACTGGTCACAGACTCCATGGAAAAAGGGATTTCCAGGCCCAGGGCGAGCTCGTCCTGCTGCGGAGATGATAACTCCATGCCTCACAATCTCTGGTCCACAGGGGACAGCGACATTTACACTCCCCTCCTCTCCAGGGGACAATCACCTGGTCTCTCCAGTAATCCAGCAGATTAATGTAATCTAGGGAAGCTCAGGAGCTGAGACACAGCGGTCAGCAGCAGGACATGCCACCAAACTCCCAGTCCCCAGCACCGAAGCCCACTCCCAAGGAACGAGATCCACCAGCGTGGAGTCAACGCCTCTTCCAGTGCCCAGCGATCACTTTAGGGGCTGTAAAACAGACGGCAGGAGAACCCCCCGCTAACAGGACCCCACTCGGCAAGAGCACTGGGGCAGCCACCCAACGCCCTGGCAGCCAGGACAGAGCCCCAGCCCGGCGTGACACCAAGGCACGCAGGCGGCGAAGCGAAGCAGGCGGCAGACGGCCACCTTCCTTCTGCAGCTTCTGGCACGCAGCTCTCCAGAACGCAACACGAGGCGTTGAAATGGCAGGAAGTCATTTCTGGCTGACCCTGGGTTTTCCACCACCTTCAGGAGTTAATTCAAGTGCGCTTGGAGTTGCCGAAGCAATACCTGTTTTTCAGCCCACTAGTGAAGAAAGTGGCTCGTGTTTAAACTGGATTCTTGATTAAGTATTTCTTTTGGGAAAAGGCAATAGCATCTGCTCCACGCTGAAGACAACAGCACAGTCTGTTCCACAGCGTTTTCTAACACAATAACTACGACCAACTGCTAGAACATTAGGTTTAAAGACATTTGGACTTATTTTTTATTTTTCAGGTTTTTTTTTTTTTTACTGTGGATCACACAATTATCGTTAGTTTACACTAAAAACACGACTGGTAATCTTTGCTAAAACACACCAGAGAAGCTGAAAACTCATCTGAAGAGCAACAGAGAGCACGAACAATAGTTTGCAGTTTACAGCTCCAATCAAACTGACTGCCATCAAAACCAAACTCCTGGATTCTTCCAGCGTTTAACAGGTCTTCATACAGATAATAAAAAACAAGAGCGGGGTGTCCCTTCACACACACTTCACCAGCAGCTCTGGGTGCTGGAGGTCCGGAGGGGACAGGAGGAGGAGCTCCTGCTGTCCCCAAACGTCCTCGGCCATTGCCCGCTAGAGGCTGAGCGTCTGGGGCTCACGGGGCGACCGCTTCTTCCCAGTAACCCCCAGCAGCATCGAGCAGGCCTTGTTGCCCTGCTCAGCACACCAAC